ATTATTCGTGTCCTACAGCGCTGTGGTCCTCCCCCCAATGACCTCTTATTAGTCTACTTTTCTATGGTGCGCTCTATCTTAGAATATGCCTGTCCTGTCTGGCACACCATGTTACCAAAGTGTTTGGGGGATAAAATTGAAAAAGTTCAAAAAAGAGCTTTCCGTATTATTTATCCGACAACAGATTACGAAGATGCTCTCAAAATCGCTAAATGCAAGCGCCTTGTCGACAGACGTCAAGAGCTATGTGCTAAAACTTTCAAAAAGATCTTAAAACCCGATGCTCACCTCAACCACCTCTTACCCCCACTCCGTGAAGAATCGCATGAACTGGACTTAAGACACAATTCTAACTTCACATTAACTAAATGCAGAACGGAACGTTTTAAAACTAGTTTTATACCAGCCATGACTGCTAATTTTAATAGTAAATAATTTAATAGTTAATTACACCAATTCCTAAAGCGCCATCCGTATTCTGTGAGGAGGAGTTGCGCCCAATCTCCCTTACAGCCTCTTTGTCCAAAATTCATGAGGACTTTGTGGTCAATTGGATGGTGGATGACGTGAAACATAAAATCAACCCGCAACAATTTGGTTGCCTTAAAGGAACCTCTACAACGTTTTGCTTGATCGATATGATCAACAATTGGCTAAGAACATTGGATGATAAATCTAGCTATCTGCGGATCGTTTTCCTCGATTTTAGTAAAGCGTTCGACCGCATCGACCATAATATCCTAGTCCCAAAGTTGCTGGCCCTTGGCGTCAGATTGTCGCTTATTCCATGGATATGCAGCTTTCTCTCAATTTCCAATCTGATTGGGGCATTAATAACGCAGGTGTCCCTCAAGGAACTAAATTCGGCCCAATTTTGTTCATAATTATGATCAACGATCTTGAACTGGCATCCTCTAGCACTGACCATTGGAAATACGTGGATGACGTAACAATATCGGAGTCCTTAAAGAAAAATGAAGTTTCAGTCCTACAATCTGATCTTAACACAATTGAAAGATGGACTGTTAATAACAACATGAAATTGAACGGAAAGAAATGCAAAGAAATGATAGTGAGTTTCGTCCGTAGCGAGAATGACATCCCCCGACTCCTCATTGATGGTTTACCTCTAGACTTAGTTCCTTCTTTCAAAATTTTGGGCTTAACCATGAACAATAAATTGAAATGGCAAGATAACACTGAAGCGTTAGTTAAAAAAGCCTCAAAACGCTTATACATTATTCGTGTCCTACAGCGCTGTGGTCCTCCCCCCAATGACCTCTTATTAGTCTACTTTTCTATGGTGCGCTCTATCTTAGAATACGCCTGTCCTGTCTGGCACACCCTGTTACCAAAGTGTTTGGGGGATAAAATTGAAAAAGTTCAAAAAAGAGCTTTCCGTATTATTTATCCGAAAACAGATTACGAAGATGCTCTCAACATCGCTAAATGCAAGCGCCTTGTCGACAGACGTCAAGAGCTATGTGCTAAAACTTTCAAAAAGATCTTAAAACCCGATGCTCACCTCAACCACCTCTTACCCCCACTCCGTGAAGAATCGCATGAACTGGACTTAAGACACAATTCTAACTTTACATTAACTAAATGCAGAACGGAACGTTTTAAAACTAGTTTTGTACCAGCCATGACTGCTAATTTTAATAGTAAATAATTTGTAGTATTTTAACAACTGTACATATATACGATATATATATATTTATATTATTTGATATTCATCCTTTATTATGTTTCTGTAAGCATATTGCAATTCAGCTTCGGGTGCCAAAATGTGTTTCTTAATAAACCTTTAATAATAATAATAAAGAGTTACAAAAGCAAAGAAAAGACTTACAAAAAACAGTTACAAAAGCAAATAAAAGCAAGTAGGAATGGCGAATATAACTTAATAAAATATATATGTCAGATGTCATCACCAAACAAGATATGAAGCCACAATGTGTCCTGCTCAGATTTTGACATCTCAAGCAAACATTACAATATTTTGAAATCACCAATTGGGCGCGCAAGACACAATGGGAAGGCGCATCTAATAAGAAGAGTATCCGATGAATGTTTTGTTTAAAGACACGGATCAACGATGCGTCCGACTATCAATGAGGAGTCCGACTGTCTACGGCACATTTTTCACACATTTTTCACTCCCCTTACAAAAAATTCCACATGAATTCACACATGTGATTTCATGTGAAATCATGTGATAACATGTGAAATTATGTGATCTTATGTGAAATTTAACATGTGAAAAAATTTCACATGAAATCACATGTGAAATTTCACAAATGAAAGGATTTCACATGAAATCACATGTGACATTTCACATGTGAAAAGATTTCACATGAAATCACATGTGATATTTCACATGTGAAAAGATTTCACATGAAATCACATGTGACATTTCACATGTGAAAAGATTTCACATGAAATCACATGTGACATTTCACATGTGAAATGATTTCACATGAAATCACATGTGACATTTCACATGTGAAAATATTTCACATGAAATTACATGTGACATTTCACATGTGAAAGAATTTCACATGAAATCGCATGTGACATTTCACATGTGAAAAGATTTCACATGAAATCACAAGTGAAATTTCACATGTGAAAGAATTTCACATCAACGTTACAAACTGACAAAGTGAAATTTCACATGTACGTGAAAGGATTTCACATGAAATTACAAGTGAAATTTCACATGTGAAAAGATAAGGATTTCACATGAATTACAAATTACAAAGTGAAATTTCACATGTACGTGACAGGATTTCACATGAAATTACGACTGAAATTTCACATGTGAAAAGATGACGATTTCACATGAATTACAAATTACAAAGTGAAATTTCACATGTACGTGAAAGGATTTCACATTAAATTACAAGTCAAATTTCACATGTGAAAAGATAAGGATTTCACATGAATTACAAATTACAAAGTGAAATTTCACATGTATGTGACAGGATTTCACATGAAATTACGACTGAAATTTCACATGTGAAAAGATGACAATTTCACATGAATTACAAATTACAAAGTGAAATTTCACATGTACGTACGTGAAAGGATTTCACATGAAATTTAGACCGAAATTTCACATGTGAAAGGATTTCTCATGAAATTACAAATTACATGTACAAGTGAAATTTCACATATGTGAAAAGATTTCACATGAAAAAATTACAAGTTAAATTTCACATGTGAAAAGATAAGGATTTCACATAACATTACAAATTACAAAGTGAAATTTCGCATGTACGTGAAAGGATTTCACATGAAATTACGACTGGAATTTCACATGTGAAAGGTTTCACATGAAATTAAAAATTACAATGAAATTTCACATGTGAAAGGTTTCACATGAAATTAAAAATTACAATGAAATTTCACATGTGAAAGGATTCACATGAAATTGAAAATGGGGTTGTGGGGATTTGAGGGGCAAACTCATATTTTTTTTTGGGGAGGGGGGACAAGATAGAATTGTTAAATAGGTAGTGCTATTTGCCCATGCCGTTGTCATAGGACTTCCCCCCTCAAGGAGATTCGCCCCCCTCCCCAACCATAGGAATATCGACCCCCTTTAGGATATTCGCCCCCATATATGCGACGTGGTTTATTCAAATTTCGTGATACGTTCATCTTATTAGTGCCTTACATGTTTGAGAATTTAACTCAGCAAAACTAAAGCTTTTTTGCCTTTTTTGAAACGTATTATTGGAGTATTGGCAAGTTTTACCATTCGGAGACTTACAAAATAATATTGAAACTGTGAAAACAGTATTATACGCGCATTCACTAATGACTAATGAGTAATGAGAACTTATAAACCATACATTTTTTTTTGGGGGGGGGGCAAAATGTGGTAGTGGGCAAAATATAATTGGGGTATCCCCCTGTCCCCCCCCCCCCACGCCACTGAATACAAGTGAAATTTTACATGTGAATAGATTTCACATGAAATTACAAGTGAAATTTCACATGACAAATGATTTTATATAAAGTAAAAAATTGAAATTTCACATGTGAAAGATTTCACATGAAGTAAAAAGTGAAATTTCATATGTGAAAGGAATTCACATAAAGTTACAAACGAAATTTCCTATGTGATTTAAAGGATTTCACATGGACGGTAAAAAGTGAAATTTCACATAAAATCGTGCACTGCAAAACATCAAATTCTAGTCTAGAATAATAGTCTTATTTTTTAGATTATTATTTTTATCTTAAGTAACTATTTCTTATCTTAAGCAGTATTTCAAGAAAAAATCTCGTTTTGAGAACAAGACATGAA